GAAGGAAAGAGAAAGAGGTCTAAATGCGAATTAATTATCCCTCTGCATCTCTGTCATCTCGGACCAACTCAGTGCACCAAAAAAATACATAGTTCGAACACAACTGCAGGATGATGTTATGCCTGTTAACTCCATTAGAAAACATCAAAAAGCAGTTTCAGAACAGACTTCGCGATATAAAGTGCATATCAAAGTGTTGCATTGTTTGCCTCTATAGAAGATTAGATGATTGTGTAAAAGCAGGTATCACCAAACAGCTAGAATGTGTAGTCATGCTTCTTGCGTAAGAGAGACAGGTAGAGCGTTAGATTTAAGAATTAGGAAGCTAACAAGAGGCGAAAAAACCTAACATCGCCTTTAGTAGACTTAAGTTTGGAGCATAGGGGGTAATGTCTGCAGAGTCACATTTGTAATCCTAGCCCCCTGAGACTGAGATATTAGCAAGGGAGGTGATAGTCTTGGATTTCACCAACAGTCGTGGCATGATAAGCAGCAATGGCTGGTTGTCCATAGCAGGTGACTTCCTCCCCTACGTAACGCTTAATTGCTGATCGCACTATAACCATGCGGCACTAACTCAGTGACGTCCGTTAGGACACTGCAAACTACTAAGACAAAGTGGAAGGTGTTTGGTCCATTTCCCGTTGGTCTGTAGGCTGTGGCTCAAACAATTTCTATACGAAGCGGTGTAGTAGGAGAACTTTGATAGTAGTGTCATAGATCAGAGCTTAGCTCCGTTTCAGAAAGAACGAAACCCTTCACGACAGGCAATAAGTGCCTAAACTTTCGTCATAATACTCATAGTCAACTGACACACTAACATAAGTTTAAAGGTGAATGAACATGGAAATTCCAGAATTTGAAATTTTTATCGATAATCTATTACTTGAGAGGCCCGAAAGCGAGTTAAAGGGTGAGAGGATTGATTTGTTGTACTTAGATTAGATTTTCTGTTCTCCTTTACCTACAGTCACATAGAGTAGCAGGGTTATAAACTCATTTTTCCTTATGCTCACTACTTAGGCATACTAGAGAGGTTCATTTCACAAAATTTTTCGCGCACACTGATTAATTAGATGATCATGAATAGCACCTTTCTGCAATATAGGAAAATTTTATGACACGTCATCGGTGCTGTGAAAAGCTGTGAAGTAAAATGGAGCTAACTTATAGTTATGATAAAAGAGTCAAAATAATTTTATTTTTCCAGCCAATAAAGAGACTGTGACCCTTTGGTCGCTTAAA